TTTATTTTTTTTTTTTCCAAAACAGAGGTGATGATTAAGTTATCTGAAGATAAAGTAACTGGATACCATCCTTTATCCAGGGGATATAATGTATAACAAAATGTATCTGAATTGGAGTAGAATGGAGGCTTTTCATACTACACAGAAAACATTTTTTCTTAAAAAAAAAAACAAAAAACAAACAAACAAAAACCCCAAGCAAAACTAAGATCTATAAAATTAGTTTCTGTCTGACACAACTAAACCTAGTAGGTGCAGGGTATTTTCACCAAAGTGCAGTTTTAGAGAGAAGTGTTTAGGCTTCTTATGCTGGAAGACCTCTGATCAAAGTGAAAATATTAAATTATAGTGGTTAGGCATATTAAGACAGCAATATGAGTAAAAGAAAAATTAAGGACATATCCTACCTTTACTCAGTCCAAGTAAGGGGCTGAAAATGACTATTCAAGCACTGTGTTAAGTGAGGCAAGAGCAATCTTTAAGACTTCTGATTAAAAGCTGGGAGAAGATTAGGCTTAAAACAATGGAGGAACAAATATGGTTAGTATAAAGATGAAGGACTATTTGTGAACTTTTTATATAAACTGATAGGTCATGCTGTGGCCTGCTGTTGGAGTAGCAGCTTGCAAAAGACAGTGTCTGTGTTATTGAAACATTTCTATTTGTTTTGGAAATTTGATAGAAATCTTTAATGGAAAGGTATGATCCTATAAGCTACTGCAATGAAAAAAATGAAAAGGAAAAATCCCTAGGTGTTATGAGCTTTTACAAGTTGTTTCCTTTTAGAACATGGCTATTATATGGATAAAAAGATACCTGGAATCAAGCATAAATAAGTAGATTCTGATTCTCTGTAAGCTCCAATAAGAATTGCCTTTTCAGTATAAGCCTTAAAATACTGAAAGCACAAGCTCTTGTACTAGTTGCACCTAAGATCCCCTTCTTTCATGGAGAAAACAGTTGTGTTCATGTGTCATTCATGCTCTTAATAAATTAGTGTAGCAGTAAATCAAACTGAAAGAAGACAAACAGTTTAAATAAAATCTTTAATTGCTTATTTACAACAAAGGCAATAATAACTTGGCAAATTGAAAATTATGATTTGCACTTTATCACTAACTTGAGCTACAGCAAGTACATAGTCAACTATAAAATATGCAGCCTAGTGAGTAAGGCGCAATATTTACATCACACTAGTACTGCAAAAAAAAAAAAAAAAAAAAGAAAAAAAAAAGAAAAAAAGCACTTAAGATGAATGTACTGTCCCAGCCAGAGTTAAACACTGATCCTGCAAACGCTAACGTTGCTGAAAAAGAAACTTCAGATGCCACTTAAAAGGTCAGTGCTCTAGTTTGGTTTAGGTTTTTTTGGTTTGGTTTTTTGTTTTTTTCCCCTCAGATTGCAAACATGCAGTAGTAGTAAAAATCTGATAATGGGATAAAAACAATACCCCTCTCTGATTTTGTCAGTTTTTGCAAAGTAACGTTTTGATGCGAGTGTACTTCCTGGTCTGACATCTAATGCAACTCCAGTACTAGACTAGCTACTTAGTTTTACCTTAGCAAAGGTCTTCTGGGGTGATGGGGGGGGAAAATCAACTATTACATTTGAATCCAGGCTATACTAGGAGCATAATACAATAATCACACACATACATTTATGAACACAAATTACTACAGACACATTTTCAAGATATCTTGCTTTAACAGCTTAGGAAAAAACCAAAACTTCAGTGTTCAAGAACTTATTGCAGCCCAAGAGAAAGAAATCGTTTTTGTTCTAATGCTTCCTTTTTGACACCATGTATTTTAGGTAGTAACCATTATTCTTATTTTAGAAGGATGGGAAGTAAAGTAGTCAAGTGTAAGGTATTAATCCAAAACCTATCATCCTGGCTATCTCTTCTGAATGGAAAAGATACATTATGAGCTACACAGACAACAGATATGCCAGCCCTATGTGCTGGGCATGGAATTCTATAGCAAGGCCCATAGGGAATGCTTTCTTTGTATAGATTCTTCACTGATGCTCTGTAGTAATTGTCTTTGTGAAGGGGTTTTAGTTAGCTGTGCAGGAAAGGGAAGAAGATGGCATCTGTACAGAAGTTACCGTTTCACCCACACTTCATTCAGCGCTGGGGTATGGAAGTTACCATCATTAAGAGGACAACCTAAGCTAATACAAACACTTTTTGCTACAGCCCTCCTCAAAGTACATTCTTGAGATTAAGTTGTCATTGCTAGTAGTACTTACACTTCATCTTTAGAAGAACAGTTATTTTTTCAAATGTTTCTTTTGTATTAATAAAAGTCAGTATAATTTTGACATGATGTGCAAGTGTTTAGCAGTTTAAGGAGTTGGTTCTTAAATTTATGAAGAAACCTTTACTGTGTGCGTGTTTCATATTCATGGGGCACTCCCAGATACTCACGTCCATTACAGATTCAGAATTCAGATGTTACAGCCATATCCTCTTCCTGTCCACACAGTAGCTCTTCCAAGCTTTCCAACTGACATCACTAGCAGTGCATGTTAACGTAACATATGTGGCAAGTATATTACAGACTCCTTGACACGTTCAAAGAAAAGGTGAGTCTAACTTTTATCCAGAGCCTTCTCTGATAAATTGTTCTGTAATTCAGGTGACTCCTCAGCATCTTGAATGGCAGAAGCATTATAAATGCCATCAACAGCAGGAGCTGTCGTTGGTGTTGTGAGAGGTGTCACAGTGTGTCCAAACCCCTGATAATGACCCATGGGTGAAGATGGCATTGAAGAAGCATCAGAAATTGGGTCTTGAGTAGACGAAGACAGTAAACTTGTATGCTCATTTTGTTCATGATCCTCAGCAAAAAACATTTTCCTTGGCTGGCCCAAAACTGTCCTTCCTAGAATTACACCAAATGAAAATACCTTTTAATACTTCCAGCAGTATACCACATCAACTCTAAAACAGGCATGTTAAATTAGGAGATTAATCTTTGTTTTGTAAGTTTTACATGGGCATTATTAGCTTCAATAAATAAAAGGATGTCTTTCCATAAAAAAACCACAACAACAACAATAATAAGGACATCCTTCTCTTCTGCCTAACACACCTGAAACTTACTCTGAGATCCATCTATTTAAAAGAAAAATTAAAACCCAGACTTTTCAGTCTAGTTTTTAATTTTTAAATCTTTAATCTAAATCAGTCAAGAATACAGGAAAGAGCAGAGTGTCAGATAAACCATGAAATCCTCTGGGGATGCAGCTGCCACTAATTTGGTCTGGAATGTTCCCAGCGTACTACAGAGACAGACAATGGCATAAAATAAAGCTGGAAATACACACGCTGTTAACAGATCACACAGATCTGTCTGTTACTTACCCACGTTTCGAACCTGTTCTGATATATCTGCCCTTATATCAGAAATATCCCACATGGCAAGAAAAGAGTCAAAGCATGACCCTTCTTCAGCTTCTTGAACGTAAGGTTTATAGGAAAAACTGTAGTGATGTGCAATAGCAGCCAGGAACATCTCAACACAAATGATAAAATCCTGCAATGAGACAGATACGGAGTTAATCATTCATAACTGGAGAGAAGTAGTTCCTGCATTTCTTCTGCAACTGAAAGACTGCAATTGCCTTGGGATACTGGCATCACCTACTTTCCCAACAGAGGTAGGATATTCTTGGCAAGCTTCAGAGAGCCACATGTACTATGTACGTACTGGAATCAGTCCTTGCCTGATGGACTGGCTTGCTGGAAGCAGATATGCAACAAGCAGCAGCTCTACAACGAATTCTTGCAAGAAAAAAGGCAAGGGTATCCAACAGCAATATTTAACTGGGGCACATTCCTTCTACCGAACACATGGATATGGAAGTGTTGAACATAAAACTCACTTGGGAGTGACTGGCTGAAACTCAGTGCAGCTTACAATAAATTCAGTACTAATCCAGCCCGTGTTAATTAAAGGGAATATAACAATATTGCATGAGATCAGCTATGTCATCTTACATGTAGCCAGAGCGAGAGCCAGAGAGACCAAGAGAGGAAGAGCCCCTCACTAATATACTGGACATGGTGTGATATGATATGGAATATCCCATTGGCATATCCAAATGCCAATTTAGCTTATTAACTTAAATATTCATCACCCCCTTAGATCTTGCACTTGTAGACTAACAGAACACAAAGTCCTTCACTTCCAGCAACAAAAATGCAAACACTGGTGTGTTATCAGTGTTTCTCTCATAACAAATCCCCGGCTGAAAAGCAAAACGCAGCACAATTCTAGCTACTGAAAGAGAAACCTAGCTCTGTTCCAGCTAAAAACCAGGACACCATTCCTCCTAAGTAGTAATTTTCTGCTCCTACCTGTAGGCCTGTAGCCACAGCTTCCACACTTTGCCATTCCCAGGTGCGTTTCTCAGAAATAACGCCAACTTTCACCAACAATGCAATAAGCACAGCTTGCCTATAAAAATGATTTTTTCTATTATAATCATTGTAACAGTAGTGCCAAAAAACCTGCAAGCAATCTGGTAAACGAGGGCTGTTCATATGTGTACGTATGTATGTATATAGGAAGAGTCTTACAAAAAACTTCCTGTTTATATATTTAGATTTTAAGAGGAGGAAAACAGACTTAAGAAGAGATGCAATTCATCCATGGTCCTAAAGACCAACAGAGAACACAACCAAAGAAGAGTCTGTTGTTCCAGTTAGTTATTAGAACAAGCTGCTTCTCTTTCACAATATTTCTGCAGCCCACAGAGTAATGTTCAGATAGTCAGATGTACTCACTCATTAGCAGCTAAGTGTGAGCAATGCTTAAATAGTAATTTATAGTTATATTATCTTTGAAAAAGTTCTTTACTTTTACTTTAAAACATAAATAAGTTTTGCTCTGAAATAACTGCAAGGGATTCTAAAATAAATTATGTTCTTAAGAATCACCTTACAAAACAGCAAGTCTAAAAATTATCTCAAGTGAACAAGACTGTTATGTCCAACATACTAGTCCCCTCTTGCCCTCACAGCACTTCACTAAGGTTATGGGTAGATTTTTTGAGGCCTCTAACCTCAGTAACAAATCCTGCCTTTTTAGCTCTTTCATGATCCACCCTGAGAGCAAAAAGTAAAGAATAAATAATTCACTTACCAGAAAGAAACAAAAACTACCATCTTCACACAAAGGAACTTGCCAACAGGTTGGATAGGGTTCAGTTCTTCACGTAGGACTTTATAAAACAGCACCAGACAATACATAGCAAACTAATAAGGAAAAGAAAATGAAGAAAAGCTTTCAAATCCTTGTTTATTTTCTGAGGGAGTTGTTTTACAGCAACTCATCAGTTAAAAAAAATTATCTCAGTACGATACAAACTTTAAAAGCTCTGATCTGTTTTAGAAAAGAGGCTCTGGATTTATGGAATCTTTGCCTCTTAAAGCAGACTTTTTTTTTTTTTCCTTAACCTGAAATTGTATTTCTGAAATGCATGGTATGGGCAGACAGAGACCAAGGTCATCTATCTACACACTAAAGCAAAGCAAAGGAAGGTCCCATAAGGTTTTTTCAATGCCAAGCACATCTCTAGGAGAATGGCATAAAAAGCACATGATTTCAGGCTTCTGGTAAGAACACCTCAAATGTTACCTCTTTCTGAAAGGTGAGGTAATTAATGCAGTCTTCACTGCAAGTCTGAACCAGTTTCCTATTAGTGACAACTGCAAGCAACCAAGCTAATGTACAGCCAAACCTCAGGAATTGATCTCCCCCCTCCATGCACGTTGTCCTAGCCGCTTACTACTAAGTTTCTTTAATCAATCATGTCAACCAGTTGTCCCAGCAGAAGGCACTTACAGCTCCTTTCGTAACAGTCACCCAAACACAGGGGTGGCAGTAGGAGGAGGACACCCTTTCCGGACGGGATGTCACGCTGCTCTGACTCCTCCTGCTGTTGCCAAAAGAAGAAAAGCTTGGAGGCTATAAGGCCAAGCAGCAAGGAGTCAGAATGCTGCTCTCCTCTTGCAGTAGCTCATGTGTAGTGTGCTCTGGGTGAAGCAGAAAATGATCCCTCTGCACTCCCAGTAAGCCACTAAATGCAATCCCTGACCTCCAGAATGAAGGGGTAGAGAGGTGGGACACGTCATTGCTTTATGCACCTTCATAGTAAAAGTAAAAACAGATTTAGATTATCTGTTTTCCTAGTATTTTGCATATATAGTATTTAACAGATAGTAACTTTGACTTACAGTGGGAAATATCCTACCCATAAGACTTGCCAGACATTAACACAATTACTCTCAATAGTTCACACAGAAGATTCCCATAATGCTAATATGATGACTTAAAAAAGCAGAAAGATGTACCCTTGATACTCACTAGCTGTGACATGTTGTTAAGTATAACCAAGTAAGTCCAAGCATTGTTGAAGCTGAAGTTTCCTTCATCATACACTCCCACTAGTTCACAAATTCTGAAAGAATTTTTAGAGTTAATCACTATGTAGTAAAAGATCACCTACTTGAAGTGACAAATCTCATTGCATTGATCAACTGTCAGAATCCAAAAAATCTCTTTTGGTACTCAAATATGGGTATTAGGAGTCTGCACAAGAATCAGTTTCCAACAGCATATGGCATGGGAAGTTCGTACTGCATTTTCCACAGAATAAATAGTGTTTGAATGCAGGGTTAACATATCCCACTGTTGGATGAATTCAACAATTCAATGTCTTTATTTTTTTAGCTGATTTGCTTTTAAGTGTTAGAACACATACAGCTAATATTTATATTTCTATAGATATTCTTTGTGAATAGCAACTTTTCCCACAGAATTAAGAGTAATGACCATCAAAATGAAGTTCATTAAATTAAGCTTTCAGCATCAACACGCATAACTACCTGCTATTCCTTTACAACAACAGGTTATATATGTATAGAGGCACACAGTCAGGCTTGTCACGTGCAACATTTAATAACATTTTGTCACAAGCAAAGTTTAATAACATTTTTAAAGTTACATGAAACCTGACTTTAAAAATACTCAATTTTTGAAGCCAATGAGAAAACAGAGAAGGAGGGAAAAAAGACTCTAAAAATTAAGAGATGTTTTATAAAAATGTCTTTCCCACATAAGCAGTACTTGACATTCTCTACCACTGCTTTCAGCAGCAGCCATTAAGTATTTATTATTTCAATTCTGCAAATAGTCATTTGCTATAGAGAAGTCGTAAAGAAATCACAGGTTGATTCAAATTGCTGGGACACGTTTAGCCTGTAACACACCAAGCCTGCTTTCAAACTGCCTTGATTCAATACAAAGAGCATGAAAATTTTTTCCAGCATAACTTAACATTACATACTGAAGATCAATATTAATTATTTATGAACGTACTTACAAAGCAATAATGGTAGTAAATGGTCTGACAACAGTGTACTGCAAAACACCCAGTTTACATCTAAATAATAAAACTCTGCAAGAGAAACACAAAATTCATTGCACAAGAATTTAAAGAAAATTCACTTATGGAACTTCTCTGTTCTCAGTAGTTTCACTAAACTGAATTTTTATTTCATGATAATTTCAACTTCTGCTTCCAGGACTTCGGAAACTACAGTGTATAGTGTACATATGTAACACACAGAAGACCTAGACTTCTATAGATACACAACAGGAAATACTCAACGGTTCACTTCTTTTAGCCATGGAAAGCTTCTGTCTCCAAGCTAAACAAAGAGAATGTAATTTTCACTGTGTTTGAAGATGTTTAAGAATGACTTACATTCATAGTTTTCCTTTAACATTTTAAATAGCTTTATCAAAATCTCTTAAGAGAGATGCTTATCAGATTAAGCATGCAGAAGCAAACAGTTCAGGGGCATACAGCTTTTCGTCCTTCACCTGTGGAAGTAAAAGCAATAGTCTATCTGGCCTACCAACAATTCCACATGTGGTTTTTGGCAAATATTATGTGATAGCAAAGGAAGCACATTCAGGGAGACCTTTTTCTGATATTTTTCAAAAATAAGGAAGTTTCCATCAGCACCACCTGAGTCAATGCACGTTAGTAACCAAGTGCAAATTATAGGATGTTTTACAGCTAGAGGAAAATGAGTTCACTGCTGCTTTCAGTTGGGGTTCATAGTTGTTAAAAAAAACGTCTGCAAACCATAAGCTGACTCGGCCAAACAACAGTTATACTACTAAATATGAAAACAAAATGTTACTATCTGTTTACACAGCTTAAAATGTTAAGATGTCATCATATACTCACTCTCCCATAGCCCATGATGGACAACAACACAGAGGCGGCAGATGTCTCTGCTGATCTTTTGCTTCTATTATTAATACAAGGTTTGGATACCGGTTGGTTAGATAATTTGAAAGAAAAACCATAAAATTATAGATGACATAAGCTTCATAGCATTCTCGACATGTATCCACATATATTGCAATGTTGGGGTATTTCAAAGCTATCCACTGTAAGAAGAGAGGTACACAAAAGGTTATGTGCAAGAAAGGCAAAAGTGATTCCAATGAAAACACTGACTGGCTAGTTCAGCAAGCAATTCATTAGACAGCAGGCACTAATTAAACAGAGCTCAAAGCATTTGGCTACTAAGAGTGTGATGTTACAGCTAGAAAATAACATTCTGTAAAAATGCAAGTAGAACTTCAGATTGCATCTCTGCTGCTTCAAATGGAAGCATGTTGAAGCACTGCACAAGAGACACCATCTTTGACCACACGATTCAGTCCTCCATTTAAAAGTAACTAAGGAGATGGTTCCCTACCCATAACCTACTCCTGTGAGGAGGGAACAAGATAGAACTGCTCCCTGAAATTCACCTGGTCATTGTCAATATGGGTTTGAGAACCAATTTTAAACTTTATTTCTTTTGGTATCTAATGTGTAAATGTTTTCTGGCTTGTTTGCAAAATACAGAAGAAAGCAGCAGATTAACCTTAAAGTGGCAGTCATCCCTCTAAACCAGAGTTTCAGAGAGAAAAGTCATTTTTTTGCAAAACTCTGATTATGGATCAGCTGTCAGAGCTTTCAGCTTTTAATTTTGAGTATCATCACATTGCTGTTGCACTGAACAGTGCAACCTGTCCTACTGGGTTTTTTTGTTTGTTTCTTGTGTGGGGCTGGTTTGAATTTTTTTTGGGGGGGTCTTCTGAGGCAGGTCTTTTGAGCTTCCTTTGCTTCCCTAGGTTGTAGTAGAGTGAATGTTGCGCCTTCTCTGACCTTCTTATGAGAACTATGGGAAGATGCAATACTGCATCTCGTAAACTGAGAATACAGTATTTGAATCTGAGAAGAGAACTTTGTGTTCAGCTCAGATTAAGCAACCTAGAAGGATACCACATATGCAGCAAAGGCCCTAAGATCCAGGAGTCTGGGGAAAGATCTCAGTATGTTAGAAGTGTTCCTAAATGGAACACTCCTAGATGGGAGAAAAAGCAAAGAAAAAGTTCCTGGAAAGCTGTCTTTTATGGGTGAAACAGAAGTATTTGCAATGTCAAGAGGTGATGACAACATGTAAGCACACATTCTACACATACAGTCCCCAGATGTAGTATGTTGCTTAGCTCTGGCTGAAATCATCTCCACAGGTGACGTATTTACATGAACCATATCTGGTATGGCAAATAAAATCTATCACATAAAAGTATTCTGTGGTGGATTTTTTGTGGGATCTTACCCTTTGCCCCCTGAAGCAAAAAGGAATTTTAGCACTAAGCATAACTCAGGAAAGAATTTTAGTACTAAGCCTAACTCAGGAAAGAAAGGTAAGGCACTGAATTTTGAGACAGGACTTGGATCAGTCTGGTTTCCAGTTCAGCTGTTACTGAAGATGGAAGGAGCAAACCCAGGCTCTCACTGTACCCCTTGACACATGTCACTGAAGGCAAGGTTGAGAAGGAGTAGCAACGGCGATCCCACAAGCTCCACAAGAAGAATGTGATATCACTAGAACTACGCTCCTGACACACTCCATAAACAGGAATGCCCAGAAGTTTCTAGGACTAGGACTCTCCATGCAGCACAGCTTCTGTTCACTGTGACACTGTTTTCCCTCACTCCCACAGCAACAGAATTTTATTGAGCTGGTAACAGTAAGAGGACACTTACACTGTCTAAACTGTAAATCGGCACCATCCATAGAATCCTGTTACAATAACAAAAGAACATTTAATATTACTAGAAGTATTTTTAGTCTGAATTAAATTCAACATTTGTAGCACAGGTAAAACATGAAATGTTACCTTATTATTGGTTTCTGTAATTCAGGTTGAGTATAATGGACCAAGTGTTGTAGTATTCCCCAGAGAGATATCGGTATAGTCATTAGCAGAAATATCCCAGCGATAAACCATGCCTTGGTATGAATTCCAACCTTGCAAAGAAAAAGAAGAATGCAAGATCAAACTTTCAGTATTAATACTTTAAAGTTTTACTAGCTTAGCAAGAAAAATAATTTGTCTTTCTTTCTGTTACTGTGAATAAAGTTTTAAGATGGACATTAAGTACATATCCCAATATTAAGTTTAGTTTTTCCAACTGTCCCTTTCAAATACACAAAATCCCAAAGTCTCCCAGTTGATATGGCTTAGAGTAAAACTTAAAAACTCGAAAGATTAGTTTGGCAGAACCAAACAAAAACATCACCAAGAAACATGAAATGTTCTACAAAAACATAGTAATGCTCACTATTTAATTTATTGAAAGCCACAACAGGTTTCCTTGCTTTAGGTCTAGAACCTGTCTCAGTTCAGTGCTTCATTATAAAGCTTCTGCAAGCTATGGTTTTCAAGTATTTTTAGCTTTAAAATTAAGTTCCAACTAGTAATGAATTTCAACTAGTTTCATTTAACAATCTGAAATAGATACGCATGTGTATAATGTTATTATATACATGCCTAATAATCACAGGGCTATGATTTTAAACCAAAGCTCCTTGAATTAACTATGTAATCTTAAGTACCAAAAACTGAGAAACACACTAGACTTATCAAACAGCTTTTTTGTTTAGAGTTTCTTCTCTGATCCCCTGCTGTACATCAACATCCCACATTTTCTGCTGCTCTCTAGTTCAAAGACTGCTTCTGAGTAGTTTCTGAGTAGATGTAATGATTTTGAAATTTCAGATACCACTTCAGCATAAACATCCATTGCGGCTGCCCCCTCCCTGGAAGTGTTTAAGGCCAGGCTGGATGAGGCTTTGAGCAACCTGGTCTAGTGGAAGGTGTCCCTGCTGATGGCCGGGGGGTTGGAACTGGATGATCTTTAAGGTCCCTTCCAACCCAAACCATTCAGTGATGCTAGGATCCATTATGCTAAACATACGAAGGCATGAGAACAGAGTTTCTAAATTGGAAATTTAAGTTACAATCAAGGCAGATTTTACTGTCATTAAGTGCTTAAAATTATACCACGAAAAAGCTCACCTCTGTCGGTACAAGGCTAAAATACACATTCTAAGGTTAGAATTTTACTTTTTGTTAGCAAAGTAACGCTGTCACAGGCGTGTGTAGCTCATCCGTCCCTGCTGGGGCACGCTGCGGTCCCACCAGGATGAAGAAACTTCTCTACCTGCTCCCTCAGCTCTCCCTGATCGGACAGGATGACCCAACACACCAGGTCCTGCACAGCGACCCCGGTGCGACCGGCCACCGAGCGCCGAACCGTGAGGCCTGG